CGAATAGAAATCTATTCAAGCATCCACAGTTGGTCATTCTTTATGGAAGAAAGAAGTGAATTAAGATTGATGTGAAGTGTATGTTGATATCCATATTTATGGATATAACATATGAGATGCAACTACACTTATATGTACTTGATGCGAGATCAAGTATTGGAGTAGCCAAAAACTTAGAGATCACTTCATGGATATTGTCAAAAAGTAATTCTAAGAAAGTAATATATTTTATCCTTAAAACGGAGATGCATAGGATCTTGATATGCAGTCTGATATGCTTTGATCATTCCCCAACGTTGTTCGTAACTATCAGCCATACATGGTTTGGTCAAGTGTAACATGATAAGTGGATAAGGTATGTGTAGTTGAAGTTTATTCGTTCCTTCCGCCTACTATGGGGAAGAGATATATGTGGACCCTTGAGGATTGCATGCTGACACAGAAAGCATGGCCATGTTCAGACAGAGTTGATAGATGATCAATAGTACAGTCTGTTATATGGTCAACATGAATCTCGATCAAGAAACAAAAATTTGAATGTTTGATTGATAGTACTCCATGTCATACATTCAACAGGATATCATAGAACAAAGAGATGTTGGATCACTTACTGGGGATGTTATTCTTACCATATGGTTTTAGAATACAGTACTTGTCAAAGGGATGACATACCTTATGTGAATTTATTGTAACTTACTAGAATTCATTGTGAATTGTACAAGTGAGAGTTTGTTGGAAATGATGTCCAATGTCACAAATGAATTTAGTAAATAAATTTCATAAGCCTATCGAGGCTACACACTTAGCTTAAATTGGAAAGTAAGAAACCTTGGGGACTGATTTTGTTAATTGACAATAGTTAACAATTAATTAGTAATTAATAACTTGATAAGTTATTTTGATAAATTATTAATTATTTATAGGTTTTAAATATGTTTAAAGAGGCTTTAGAAGCCCGTTAGGTTTTTAGATGCCCGTTAGGGTTTAAGCCCAAATTGTGGGTATTTAAACCTAACTAACTTAGAGATAAATATAATAATTAAACCCTAAGAAAAATCGCCTCTCCCTCCTCTCTCTCTCTCCCATCTACAACCGAACTCAACCTCAAGGGGTTCTTGAGGTCGATTTTGGTGCTCCAAGCGAGAAGGTTTTCTTGTTCCTGTTTACGACTTTGTGTGCGGACTAGTAGAGAGATTCTACGTTGGATTCTTAATCGTCTTGATCTACAATCGAGATACATTTGTAGATTTTATTTGTTGCTTTGATTACATAAACGTGTTCCTCGGTTTTGTTATTACGTTTCCTGCTTCCGCGTTTTTCGTATAAAAATTCGATTTTTATCGTACGTAATAACTAACAGTCGAGTTACAGACTTATGGTATCGAGCTGTTGTACTTAATTGAACGTATGCAAATATTCAATGAATATAACACATATATACCATTTCACGTAAAAAGTGGTTTAAACGAGAAAAAAAAAACTATATCGAGATGAATGTCATATTGAAGAGCATGTGTCACACCCCGCTGAAGCGGAATCACGAGATGTAACAGGCAAGCGAGTCATAGCAACAGTTCATAAATAACACTATTTCAAGTTATTCAAAATAAAAACAATTCATCGACATAACAGGAGTTAGAAATCACACAACGTTCACAAATTCATTAAAATCTTGACTTAATCGATCCTGACTCAAGTATGCTCCCTTAAAAATCCAAACCACTTACTTAGAACCTGAAAAGCATGGAAATAAAAACGGAGTCAACTACAAAGAGTTGGTGAGTTCACGGGTTTTCACATGCATAAAACATTTCAATGCATAAACCAAGTAATAGCAAACTTATGCGAAT